TCCATTAATTTCTTGAGTCAACCCTTTCCCGAGTAGATTTATAAATAAAACGGCTTGTTTCCCGCGAAAAGTGTAATATTTCCGTGAGTCTCGTATGTCACCGTGAAAAGATAAAGTTGGATGAAGTCGACCTCAGAAGCCCGTTAAGCCCGCCAGTTAAGCACCGCGTGCAAAAGCGATGACCTAAATAGCAACTAAAGAGGAATGCTCTAGCTCCCAAATTTGAGAAATTGCATTCTTCCTTTACAACTGACTTGTATTACCATGAGCGTTGCCTGATAAAACTGGCACTTGAAAAGTTGAACAGAAGAGAACTGTTGCTCGACTAACTCAAAAGTAAATTGCTAAGGGAGGAATTTGTGACATCGCGCTCCAGTCCAAAGACCCACTTATCTCAAGAAAAAGAAAATGGATTGTATCTGCGCCAAAAGAATTATGACCGACTAACAGGACAATTCTCAGCAGTTAATGTAGAAGTTTAAGCTCAATTCTTTCCTTCGAATTCGTATCTGTTGCTCCAATAACGTATCTTCTGCTCTTGTAAAAAGCAACTTGTTTTCAAAATAGCTTGGCTCGGCGTTACAAAATATAGCAGGGGATCATCACACCACGGGGGGTACTCGATATATCCCTGGGTTGGGAGGTGCGCTCGGCCCCTCATACCCTGACCCTGTTTAAGACAAATATCGCTGATTTTCCTACCCTGCTTAAGACATTTATCCTGTTTAAGACAAAAATTGATAAATCGATACCCTGATTAAGACAAAAAATGATAAATTCGATACCCTGTTTAAGACAAAAATCCCGAAAAACATACCCTGGCTGGCCGCACGTCCCCATTAAGCCCTTATAAGGGAGTACCCCCCCCCCCCAGGCATCACACTAGCTGAGAGACAAAACAACCTCAAGGACTACAAGTATTCATTGAGATAAACGCATTTCGGAAAAAAAACCTTGAAAAACTATAGAAATTTAATTAATATTGAGTCATTTAGCCAAAATAAGAACCTTAACGCTTTAAAAAAAAATGGCTAAAGATAACGAATCCTGTCACAACTACAGACTGCGGGGAGTAATTAATCATTATGCATGGAACAGACCAGCGTCATGGTCTCTTAATGTGAGAGAAGCAGCCAAAATTAAGATTAATATAGTCAAAGTTTAAAACTCTCCACAGTATAATCTACCCGCTAGAAAGCAAAGAAAGAAAATCTTTGAGGGATTAGGCTAAAGTCACGTCTCACTAGCTTATGATTGTGTTTGGCCTGTCAACACCGAATTTCCGTCTGTTTGATGAAGTACAATAAATTATTATAGTCTGTCATTTCGTCGTTGTGATTGGCTCTTCCCACCGTCGGCGCGCATAGTCTCCTCCAGGAACCGTTCTAATTATAAATCTACTCGGGAATGGGTTGACTCCAAGGGCTTGTATGGGAGATGGACGCTCCATTTGATGGGTTATCATTATCATTATTATGCCCTTGCAGGATACTACATGTATATAGAGGCGTCACCTGTGCGACAAGGTGAAAACGCAAAACTTCAAGTTTCAGTTTCTGGAGATGGCGCAGCAGCTTGTCTGGTTTTCTTTTATCACATGTATGGTGATGCCATAGGGACTCTTAATGTTTACAGCGGAACTGAGTTGGTTTTCATTGTATCTGGGAACCAGGGAAACTATTGGATACGAGCAAGGAAAACAATTCATTTGCGACACAATGTAAGTTTCTGAAGTTTAACAAAGTTTAGTTCTCAAGAAAAAGCGACTGTTGGATAAAAAGTCTTATTTAAATTTCAGACGGCTAAAATCTGTACATATACACATACATATCTTCAGAGATCGGTTGAAAAGTCTAAGTGCATAAAAGGATCTATCATAAATGAACTTGCCAATCACTCTTCCTTTCATTTATTCATTTTACTTTTTTTGAAAGATCCTCTTCGGTTTCTTCGCACAAAAATTGAAATTATATGAGAAAGATGATTTTTCAGTCGGTGACACAGGCGGCTTGGAGAAAATATTCGAGTACTCCTAATAGGAGTCGAACCATGCAATGACCTTGTGGTTACCCGACCAGATGCTTTACCGTTTATCTACAAGACAGTCCTGGGAGCTATCCTGCATAATGCTAGGACTAAAAGTCGATATGTGCTTATGCGCCGGATGTGATCTAAATTCTCCATTCGCCATGTGAATGTTACCTTTTTTCTCTCGATTACCTCTCTTTCATAATCACGGCCTTTTTACTTTAAATTCGGTTTCCACTTGCAGCAAACCAACTCCATTGCCTTTTTGAGAGCTTGAATAATTCCCAATACTTTTTAATCTATTTGTAGGTATCCTTTGAAGGTATTGTGGGGTCGTCTCATACGGGAGACATCGCTATCGATGACGTGACAATTTTCAGTGGAAGCTGTGATAGTTCTACTGTATTGCTGACGAATCAAAGCATTGGAGGTACTTTAATGCCCTTGTTTATTAGAATTATATAAATACTGA